TGCCGACAATTCGCGGAGAAGACTTACCGTGAAGTTGCCCATACTTAGTGCGAACATTACTACACTTCGCTTCACGAACTCGTGCCGATAAAGACATAGGACTTTTCGGTTCTCTAGCCGCTGTGCTCTTGCAGTCGCGTGCCTTGTGACCAGTCCCTTTGCACCGGAAGCATTTCATATTTTGTAGTTCTTTATTCGCTTTACTGTCCTGACTGGCTACGATCTCAGTCTTACAGTTTTCCTCTTTATGTCCTCTATAGGCCTCCTTCGTACTCCTCCTTTGAAAGCGTTTCCCTTTGGCCTCAATCCACGAGCTGTGCGGCGGCTTGCTCTTCGCACGGCTCTCGAGGGCTAGGTGTCTCCTTTCAGCCCTCATAGCGGCATCTTTCAGCCTTTCATACATATCGCCACCAGGTCCTTCCAGAGCTTCTTGCAGGTGACAGGACTCATCCCAGTGAGACAACTGATCATATAGATGGTCTGCGCGGATGACTGACAACGTCCTTTCGTCCAGCTCCGGATAAGCTCTACGCGAAAGCCTTTCTAACTCGACACAGAAATCCCCTACTGACTGTGTTTCTGGTTTCTGCAGGCGTTTTAATTCACCTAGTGCGATAACCTTTTTATTTCGTGTCTCTTCCTTACACATTTCTTTCATGGCATTAACTAATGTGTGGAAGTCACGTTTTTTAGTTTTAGGCAGCGCTTCATATTGCGCTCTCGCCTTACCCGTTCAACTTTGATTTAAACAAAGCGCAGCGTTCTTTATCTTCCCAATATTGTCCAGGGTATTTCAGCTCAAACGCTTCTACAAAGTTTTCAAACGAGTATTCTTTTTCTTTTCCAGAGTATGGTGAAACGTCAGGTAAGGCTACATATCTCAAATACTCTCCCATCTTATCTTGGGTCCTTACACTTGACTTCCTACGGTGTTTCCGTACTTCTCTTTCACTCATACTCTCACTATTTGAAGTATTCAAATAGTCATGACTCATACCTGGATCCTTGCAGTTCCTCCTCGACGAACTGCTGAACCTCTCGCGACGACAACCCTTCTTTTTCCCCCGCATGTGCCCGCCACTCTGAAAGTGTTCA